GTTTATGGGGGGTTTTATGGGGTAAAAATGGGTTTTTCTATTTTTTCACCCTGAAAACATAAAATTTCGCAATTTCTTTCTAAATCAGTTTGTAGAGCACAAAAAAACAAATAATTTAGTATATTGAAGCATTATTGCATGCCTAACGGTTACGGAAAAATCACAAAATAATGTAAATTTAAAATTGCCATGTTATTCATATGGAGAATAAATACAGAGTTGTAGCTTGCTTGTGTATGGACATATATTAATGAAATTTTGAAATTTTGTTTACTTCATACTGAGCTATTAATATTTCAATAAAAAACCCCTATTTTCTTCCCTGTAGCAGCAAACTTAAGTACTCATTAATATTAATGATGTTTAAATAGGAAATAAATCTGACAATTTTAAGGGAATAATTTAGTGGAATTCCAGCTGTGTATATGGAAATTCGCTTAGTCTGCAGGTTTGCTGTGGCGGGGGTATTTTAGTTTTTTCATAGAAGCTGAGATTGATAAATTTATATAAATTTTATTTCTAGTTTCATATGAATGGACATTTTTTCAAATTTCCAAATTTTGTTTTAAAATTCAGGGACAAATTCATAGATATATTTCTGACTTACTACCGCGAAATGGGGAGTTGACTTCATAATAATTAATAATAATTTTAACCTTTACATACATTTGGTTCTCAAAATGGAAACTATAACAGAATTCGTAAGATTACAAAACAAATCTTCAATTTTAAAATAAAAAAGATGTGCAATGTTTGGCAGTACGATTTCAGCTCTGATTCGTCATTCTCCGGGCTCAGGCCAAACCGTGTTCACGTTTCCATTTGTTATGTTGTGTTATTGATTTAATCATTATTTTACAATTGTATTTCATTGACACATCAGAAGCAACTAATATACGACTCCAACGGAAGGAAACCAAAGATATAAAAAAGAAACACTGTTAATTTTAAGTAACATAAAATTGATAATTTTAAAAACATATTTCGAATATTTGTCTTTTTATATAAGGTTTTTTATTGTAGTCTAAATTAGGGGCTATGGCCCCTACAGGCCACTAGTTATAGTACATATTTATTGATCAGACAGTCAAAATGTGTAGTTTTGAAAATTGATTTTTTACAGTTATCATTTGTCTAAGTAGGCCCATAGCATGATTCTTATAGTATTTTTAGAGTTTCAGAACTGAATCTAAATTTTTTGGGCGTTCCTCCATAGATTGCCAGAACATAAGATAAAATATTGTTATTTTAGAATGCCCAGGTTACATTATTGACACTGGCCTAAAACATATAATCCTGAAGAAAGTTGTTGTGTTATGATTTGTGTATATTTAAGATTTTTGTCTAGGCTAAGCCCAAAAATTGAGTATGCTTAAGATCTCCTATTTTGTACGGGGTAAAAATGGGATTTTCCCATTTTTCACTGTAAAAAGTTGCAATTTATTTCCATACCATTTTGAAGAGATCATAAAAACAAATAATTTAGTTTACAGAAGCGTTCTTGTATGCCTAACGGTTACGGAGAAAATAAAAAAGTGTACATTTAAAATTACCATGTTATTCTTATGGATGGAGAATAAATAAAGTGTTAAAGCTTGCTTGTCTATGGAAATATTTTAGTGAAATTTGGAAATTTTGGCCATATTGAAAAAAACCCGATTTCCGAGACTCCGATTTTATTAGACTTTTAGTATATTATTTCACATAAAACTTACTTATTGGAAATGTACATAAAAAATCTTTTAAAGCAATTTGTTTAAGGTTAAGGGGTTTTATTTAATATCTTGACTAGACTAAATTTGATCTAAATAACTGTAAACATGAACAACAATACGATTGGAATCATATGAAGTCAAAAAAGCATCTGGTTAACAGCAGTATTGCCAAAATAAACCTGTAAACATTAAACATATAATTCTTTTTATAAACTACTTGTGAACTATTACAAAATAAAAGAATTGAATGAGCGTAAAAAAAGGTATTGAAACAAATTCTATTACTTATCTCAACTCAGAATATAATTCGCTTATGACAAATATGTGTGTGTTTGTATCTGTGGAGACGATACAGGCCACGATGATTTGTTATCCAATTAACAATTAAGATATGGTAATTTTCCGAATTTCCTTAAGAATTACATAGTTTTTTTTATAGTTATCCCACCACCACTTAAAATAATTTAATGATTAAAAATACTAAATTGCATATATTTTTTAAGGATTTACAACATGGGTATAGCACAGACTAGAGATAAAAAGTTTTGTTCCCTATAGTGACCAATATTGAAATAAGTTATTTATTACTAACAATTTAAGAGAGATTTTTACCTATTTTCAACCCCATACAACACGTTTACTGTATATTATTTATCTTAAATCATGAATAGTTTATAGATGATACAGTTTCAAAGGTTTGTACCAAATTCGGTCTAAATTGGAGGTTCAGAAGAAAATTTACTGGGAAAATAGTATGGTTTATTATTTTTTCAAATGTTTGGACGCCATATTGGAAAAACCCAATTTCCGAGACTCCGATTTTATTAGACTTTTAGTATGTAATTTAACATACTTTTTGGAAATGAAAACCATCAAAAAACCTTTTAGAGCAATTTTTTTAAGGTTAAGGGGTTTATTTTCATATCTTGACTAGACTACTTTGGCTTTACAGCTGCTTTTGCAATATTTCCTGTTTTATTGTTATAAATGGTCAATACTACTTTCTTTTAGAGACATTTGATGTTGAAATAGACCTAAAAATGGCTTTTATCAACAAATTTCAAATAAAAAAAACACAGTAAGATTTTGTAACGCCTTAGTGAGCTATCCACCTGCTGAATATGGTCTAAGTGCCATGTAAATGAGTAGTCAGGCATATCAAAGTAAGCTAAGTGCTACTTTTTTTGTCAGAATAAGCATATTTGGAACATATTAACCCAACCAAATATAGTTAAAAACACTGGAAATCCAATAGCCATCTTATGAGGCAATCTCTTCAACCGCCATTTTCCAACATTTTGCAATAGGCCACTTTGGACCTGGACGCCTCATATTTTTATTTTATACCGGGTGATTCAAAAAGGACTTTACAACTTTGAAAGTTCATATAAATTTTATTAAACAAGATACAGACCTGGTTTTGGTGTTGTTTTAAAGGAAAACACTTCAAGTTGTTTTACCTTGAACTAAAGATGTTCTATGTGACTTCCGTTGGTTATCCTACAGACATCCCATCGATAGTCGATTTCTTCCCAGACTCGCACTAGCATTTCAGGTGTAACTTGCTCAACAGCAGCGTAAATCCTTGCTCTAAGATCAGGTAGAGTGGCTGGCAAAGGAGGTACGAACATGTGTGTAACTGACTGGGGATACAAATGTTTACCTACTTCTGGATGTGCTAGGGAGTTGAAATTTCGCACACTTGTAGTTCTTGGTCCCAAACCACCCATAAAATTCCAAAAAGCCCCATTTTATAATTTTAACCCCACCAAAAATCCAAAATGGCGGACCTCTGAAAACGACAAAACACGTTTTTTTCAAACGGCCATAGCTCGAAAACGGTAAGAGCTAGAAAAGATTTGAGGAAAAACGTAGGTTCGGAATTAACTTTCCTACAAGACACTATTATGCGTTTTTCGAAAATCGCACTCCTTCACCGCCAAAAAACGAACTACTTTCAAAATGTTGTAAATTTATCTCAAATTTTTAACGGTTTTCACTATTTGTTCATACCTAAACAATTATTTTTCCCAAATCCAACGGAAGTCACATAGAACATCTTTAGTTTAAGGTAAAAAAAAACTTGAATTGTTTTCTTTTAAAATGACACCAAAACCAGTTATGTACCTTGTTTTTATAAAATTTATATGAATTTTCTAAGTTGTAAAGTCCTTTTTGAATAACCCGGTATATACAGGGTGGCTGAAAAGTAACTTGCACCCCCCTTAACTTTTGAGCCTTTGGAGATATTTGAAATCGTTTTGCGGCAACCTTCTTTGAAATGAGGGCTACAATAAGTAATTAAGGCTATTTTTTTTTTAAATTTTGCCCTTAGGGGTGTGGGGGTAGGGGGTAGTTCATAATTTTCAAATGGCAAGTATAGTCGAGTTTGGTAACATTTTACAGGTCTTAACAAAACTAAACAATTGACATAAAGAAACCAAAAATTGGGCCACTAAAAACAAAATGGTACCCTTAAATGTATCAAATCATAATAACGATGAGGGTGGCTGAAAATTAAATTGCACCCTCCTTAACCTTTTTACTATTTTAGATATTTGAAATCGGTTTGCAGCAACCTTTTTTTGCCCTTGAGGGTAGTGCAAGGGGGGTGGGGTAGGTCAAAACTTTTAAATAGGAAGTATAGTCAAGTTTGGTATCATTTTACAGGTACTTACAAAACTAAACAATTAACATAGAGAAAATTGAACTAGATAGATTGACATTGAACTACTATACTAACTAACAAAATGGTAGCAAAATATTGTTAAGACAATGGTTATTAAAAGTTATTTTGACCAGTTAATCTTTTGATTCTGCCACACAGTTGTATGCAAATACACTAGAGATTTTAGTTTAAAAATCAATAAGTATGATTGAGATTTGCCTGTATAATTCGCATGGTAAGTGTGTATAACTGTTATTCTACAGCGGACAACTAAGTTAGTTCTCTCTAAACCTAGATTGGGGTTTCAACAGAATATCTTCATTTTTCATGCAATACTAAGGTTACACTGTTAATTTTATTATAACACGATACAATATTTTAAATAATACAATATTTTAATTATTATTCAATGGCCACTGATGTAATCTAATAATTTCTGGGATAGACTATTAACTAAAAAGCATTATGCTTTTAAAAAGTCTCAGACACTGCTATTTATAAAGAATTTCACTAACGAACAAATAATATCCTAGCACTTATCGGTAAGACGGAAATAATATGAGATCAGATGTCTAGCTATCTATTCACAAAAAAAACAACTTCTCTACCAAACTTACGTCGAATTTGATTTCCAGGCGAACGAATTCTTTTTCTGCTTTCTTTATTTTCACTATTTGGAGTTTGGATATTAAACTACTATAGACCTCTGCGTTACATACGTAAGTTTCTCTGGTTGGGACCTCCTCTAGTGGTTCATAATTCCTGGCCCCTAGAAAATAAACATTATATCATTGCAGTAAAATTTAGTAATATCTGTTTGGCTCATTTTGTGAAATGTATAAAATATGTATTGCCCTTGTTGAACGATTTATGGGTCTTATGGAATTCAATCTTACAGAATAATTGAACACAATTAATTCAAATGTACTGAAAATCTCAGCTTAAAAAACGAACTGTTTGTTTTGATAACAAATTATATTAATATTCTTGTAAAAATTAATAAATAAGGTATTCTATTTATCATCATCATCACCATCACCATCATCATAATCGTATGTATTAAAAGGTGACAGGGTTTTTTTTTTTATTTCACGATTCTGACTCAACCACTTGACGACGAATTTTCATGATTTCTGTGTTGAAAGAAAGATAATTTTTGCGAACTAGGGAAGTTCATGAATTATGCTTGTTAAGGGTTCCAGTTTTTTTTTTTTTTTTATTAAGTTAAAAACTTTTTAAAGTCTAGCACCTGACGCTAAGATTCTAAACTAGCTTTTGGTACAATGGTGTAATATAATTTGCTTAAGATTACAGCTGTAGCTGTAAACATTCAGCGTGTGTGATACAAATTCATCATTTGGATAAAAATGAAAAGACATACGTAGGAAGTTAATTGTTGGCGATGGTGAGTTAATATTGTTCAAAGGTTTATTGCGGACATTTTCCATCACGATGGTAAAAAACAATACACAATGTTTTGGGATCTGGAATCTGATCCCGTCCTCAGGTAAACAACTTAACTAACACATTACAATTAACAATACACAAACGCCCAACCCAATTTGGAATACACCACAAAGGGTAGCAGTCAAAAAATATGCACAGTATAGCAGTCAAGTCATGATACAACATGCAAATAATAACCAATCACAAACCACTAACTATTCTATTGTTTTGTGATTGGTAATTATTTGCATGTTGTATCATAACTTGACAAAATAATAAGTTTACTTTTACCATAGACAAAAAGAATTAAATATAGACTGTCGGCCATGCTGTGGATACCATGGTTACCATAGGTGCTGGCGGCTGAATTTTTATTCCAGGATTAGGCCTCTTTTATGCACGTTTTCGGTCGGGTGAAATCGTCGGGCGGAATTGTTGTCCCTTTGCAGTTTCTCCGCCGAGCGGAATCTGCTAGTTTTTTATGACGCCCGCGGTGGGGGTGGTCATTGCTGCCAACTTTGTTCATTTTTCCATCGTCAGTGACTTAAGATGGATCCTTGTTTATTGGTTTATACCTATTTGCGCGTAAAGAAAAATAGACGACGGCGATGGATGTGGGCTGTACAGTAGTGTACACCCGGTGAATGAAAGTCTTAGGGTTGGCAGCAATGACAATGTTGGCAGTACTGCAGGGTTGCCAATGAGATGGTCCCCTTAAAATGTGGTACGTTACCTCATATAGTCTAAATTACAAGAATTCACATTCATTTATGTATATTCCAAAAATTGATCAAAAGGTTTATTACAAATTAAAAACAAGATTAACCCATATCAAACTCACTTGCCCAATCCTGACTCTGCTCGAAGACATAGAATATAGCACTGTTCACTGCAATAGAGCAAAAAAGAAATATTACATAAAACATTGAACAGATAACACCATAATATTAGCGAATTTCCCATATAGGGAATACGCTTTTACCTTTGGTCTCGTGGTATGGTAAGAACTAGACCCAGGAGCAAATTACTTTTCCGTTTCTAGCCCCAGAGGCCAAAAAACACCATCCGTTCGAATTCACACGGACTAAATAAATATTAAATATATTAATGTATACATATATACAGAGTGGCTGGTTATTAGTGTTACATTTTTTTTTGTGTAAGTACAAAAGTTAATGGAGTGTGACGATAATTAATAGCTACAGTACCAAATTTAAGAAGATAGTTCTATACTGATATACTTCCATAGTTTATACTGCAATGTAAAATGACTGTCAGACTGAAGGTGTTGTTCAAAAATAAGTATCTCAAAACTATGGTTGGTTTCATCATGTTTCGGATGATTATTAACTCTTGTAACTATTTAATGATAAATGTATAATACATACTGTATAAAGCTGTGTGCTAATCACAATCTTATTCTGCAATCAACGAGGTGCTTAAAAATTAGGTTTCAGTAGACAAAGCTATATTAATAAAGTATATAGTAAATAAATTTGTTATAGTAATATAGTTCACTATAGTTTTAGTGAATTCTAAGATCTAAAATCCGAGAATTCTAAGAGTTTCTAGGCAATTTAGGAGTGACCGGAAGACTGCCTCCCGGACAACTAACCCCTCAAGAAGGTTCCTACGTCATGACCAAACTTGCTGTAACATTTCAAAATTCTGTTTTGATATTTCCCACATGCCTTTTCTATTATCAAACGGAATTACTCGAAGGAAGTTACAATATTAATTATTAAGTATAAAATTAACTTAAATATATAAAATCACAATGTGCTAGCGGGGTAGTATTCCACATCCCCCAATTTAGGTATGCTGGTAGGGTGGGATTTCTACTCGTGAGGGATATACCAAGGCAACAATGTGGTTCGGATTCCACTATAAACTGTAAGTCTCTTAGTTACCATTAGCTGTATGGGCTATTAATTAACACCTGTGTCTAAGGAATAAGTCGGTCTTAGTCACTAACAAGATTTCAAGATCGCGCCACTCATCCTACACTCATCTCCATTCATACTTGGCTCAAAATAGCTACTTTGTATGGTCGCCATTTCATTGAAAAAGTATTAAAGTTTCAACATCTCGATCGTGTGGTGCACCCAAATCTATCTGGTTGCTAAATTTAAATAGCTTCGTGATCAGCATCTTGTTTAATTACCTGAAAGTACTTTATTACTTTACTTTGAAATAGCGTCCATACGAATGTAGTTATAGGCCAAGTTTGAATGGAGATGAGTAGAGGGTGAGTGGCGCGATGGCGATCTTGTAGTCTTGTTACTGACTAAGGCCGGCATGTGCCTTAGTCCATTAGACACAGCTCTTATGAACTCTCAATTATAAGGATAGTACTGCTAAGTCGTAGTACTCACTAGGGCGGACGTTAATCCTAACCAGTTAGTATCGCATCACAGTGCATACCTATAAATATCCACAATTCGTGACCTCCTAGCAGCTGGATTACAATGGATTAGATGAAAGTACGAAAAAAATACGTCATATAACAGACTTGTAATAATATATTTACACTTACACTTTTCACTCTTAAGATTCGCCTATTGGGTCTGATGATGATTCGAGATTCGTTTGTCCAATCGAAATCGATCACCACTTACCATCTTGTGAGTAGAGCAAACAGTATAACAGTAAACATATACTGTTAGCACATACATATACTGTTAGCATATACTGTGTTATATTTGTAGCAGTATTACAAATGTATTTTGACGTATATTTGTTGCTAAATTTAGAACATTCCTAACAGCTCTTATATTTCTGCTTTAAAACTACCAAATACGAATGCATACTTACATTCTGATTTGAGTGGAGCATATGTGTCGACAAGATTGTTCTTGTCACTAGTAGCTGGACATTCAACTGCATTGAAGGAATAGATTTATAAACATCTCATCAAAAATATTTTACACACGATTTTTTACATCTACTTTACTTTAAAAATATCTAGATTTTAAGTATTCGAGTGTACAGTACTGCATTAGTACTTCTCAGTTTAAAATAGTTCAACGGAAATGGCATGTAATAGTGCGAAAATTTAAAACCGTTAAATCAAGAAAGTTTATTTTTTAAGATGGCAATAATGGTCGAAATACATTTTCACCACACTATGATGTTTTTATCTGTTTTAGCTGCGCTCTTGCTTTCTTAAAACATGAATGCATATTAAATACACAATCAGTATCCATAGAATTGCAATAGAATTGTTTTATTGTCACCGCTGCCTAGCAACTATTTATTACTATTTTTGCCGATTCCTCAAATTATTTCTTCACATAACCTTAAAGTTGTAATTGTGTTGACTATCATTGTGCATTATTATTGTGGTGAATAGTGGTAATAGAGTTTAGTGTGGTGAAAAATAGCGTTCGTACCACGGACCGAAATGGTTTTGCAGCTCTCGATCGTTTCAAGTCCTCGACTTCGTCTCGAGCTTAAAAACTATCTCGAGACGGCAAAACTTCATTTTCCATTAATTCAGCATATAATTTCATGGGAAATACAATTTTGGCTATGTATGTTTGTCCTTTCTATCATATTAAATTATTGTTGCAGTTGCTGTAAAATTAAAAAATAGTTCTGTGTGTGTCTTGGAGCCTGGTCTTCAAATCCTTTATGGCATAAGTTTCATAATTCAAATAACAGAATATAAAATAAAAAAAATATTAGTACTAGCTGTTAATACTAGGCAGTAAAAATTTAAATTTAAATGTCATAGAATAAAATAAAATTAAACTTAGTGAGTCGGGAAAATTATGTACTAAAGGTAATACCCCCTAAGATATATTTTGGTCTTTGGAATGTTTTATATGACTTAGATGATTTGCTGCCCTTGATTTTTTTCATTACACTTCTTAATTTCAATATTTTACGATTTTGAGCTATCATTTTTGCGATAGTATTACCACAGCTTAGTATTACCACAAGTCTGGGACCAATTTACTTTTCTATTCAGTATTCCTAGGGGCCAAAAGAATGTATGTTTTAGGAAATATTTTTTTGGAAATTCAACCAGGAAAATAGTAATTCGCTTAGTATGCAGGTTTGTTGCGGTTGAATTATTGCTACAGCGTTATTTTATTTTAGTTTTACTCGTGTGAAATTTAATGCTGTAAAGCAGTTTATAAGTTTAATTTATATATTTATTATCCTTTTATTGAGATTAACATGTAAATACCTATATATTCATCCAATGTAAAAAGACAATTTTTTGTTATGAAAAATTTAAAAAAATATTTGATGAATAAGGATCAAAGAACAGTAGTACTGTAGTACAGTAGTTTCAACCAGACACACTCCTTATTGATAAATCACAAATACTGCACAGTTTTATCAAAGTAAAAATTGAAATCGTTTAGCACAGATGTTTTGAGTTTGGTATGTCTAAATTGAATTTATTTCTATAAATAAGTAAAATGTTATGTACCTGGACGAACAGCTTCATTGTAGATGAAAACCTAAAGACAAACAATATTGCTTTTATTTTCCTGAAGACCCAAATAAAGTATCTAAAGAATTGTATCAAAGGAAACAAAACCCAAGGAATATATGGCGAAATATTTTATTTTAAAATTGTGCTGTAAACCTTTAACACTTTTGCAGTTAGAAACTTACCAAAAATAACCAAAATAAACAAAAATTTAAATACTTCAAAACAAATAAACCAAATTTAAAAGATAAACAAAATTTTTTTAATTATAGTTACAGTTGTAGATTAACAATATTATACTAGAGGACCCGTGTAGCGCAATGTTCTGCATCAATCCTCCATCTTATGTATCAAACAGACATAAAAAAAACTTTTATGTCACAGTAAAAAGTTTTACTGTGCATATCAGTGCATATTTTTGTGTGAACGCAACTCTTTTATAGCTAATAAAAAAATTCTAAACAAAATAATTTATACTTACTAATAAAATAGCACTGGCTAGGAACATGGTGAGCAGTGAGAGTGTTCACCAAGTGTATGTAGTTACAGCTGTTCAATAATTAGGCAAATTAGTTCTAGAGCGATGATGATATTGATCTAGGTATTGGTGGTATCATATGTCTCGGGTTAAGGAAAATCAACCAAAAATTATAATTTACGCTCTTCATGTTTTAGAAAAAATTATCTGTTAAGTCAAATAAATTTGTTTTTAACACAGAATAACAAGTAGAATAGGGATGAGAAGATAATTAAAACTATCTTTATTTATGCTATAAAAATGTACAATAAATAGAGCCACCATATAAATATAATATTCAATCTATACAAATGAAACCGTCCATAGCTGTAGACGTTTGCACACAATTCAACTACTGTATAAACGACTTTTTATACAAAAACTCTTTGAGCTTTTGTTGAAACCTTTTAAAATTAAATATATTTTTTATTTCTTTGGAATCTGTAAAAAAATGTATACCAGAGTATAATGGCTTAGCTGTTACTTTTTAAGATTGGATTTCGGCCATACTAAACGATTTTTGGTTCTGGTTTTGTATGGTAGGTTTCGCAATGTAATCTAGATTTATCCTGGTTGTTTTATTACATGAAATATACATTCCAACACAAAGAAACAAAACTCAATCAATATTTTTGAATCGACAACTGTTGCTTTACAGACTTATTATAATTTGGACTTAGCATCGATCGTATTGGTATAATCTGTAATACTAATATTTTATCTCCATTTTTAAGCATACTCTACAGCTATTCCATGCGATATAAAATTTGATAATAGAGTTCATTTTATTACAGCAGATCACTGAAACAAAAAAAATTCAAGGCATGAATTCTAAAATTCATTCCACATATCCCACTTAGACATTCTAACTCAAGGACCTCAAACGAACAGAATGAAATCTAGTCCTAAAACAACCGCTGATACAGTTCGATTGTTATACTTTTAAATGGAAATTATGTCTTCAATCAGCAGTTTAAGAAAATAAAATACGTGTCCTTATCGAAATATAAGCAGACTGGGTTGTCATTACGAGGGCCGTACATCAATAGCTCCATAGTTTGCGAAGGCCTCTCGCATACTATACGATTTCGGTCGTACGACACTGTGTCGTACGATATTCTTATCGTATGTGTGGTCCTCCCATCGATAATATCGATGGGTCCTCCCCCACTATACGACACTTTATCGGATAAATGGCCAGCTGCTCGGTAGCCGTGGAGGAGTGAGTGTGTTGCGCAATATCTTAACAATGGTTTTTGTGTCAAACAATGAATAAGTTACGTGTTGTTGCTATAATGCTATGTTGCTGCTTTGGCGCAGAATAAATTAAGCGTCATAGGATTAAGCGGAAGTATTGGATTCACCCTATTAATCAAAGTAGGGATCACACAGGATAATTTCAAACTCTTTTTGATGAACTTCTGCGTTTTTCAACTACTTCAGAATGTCTGCTGCGTCCTTTGATGAATTATACCAGAAAATAAAAGCTACAATTGCTTAACGAAATACTAAACTGAGGAGCTGCATCACTTCTAAAGAAAGGCTAGCTACACACACACACACACACACGCACACACAGACATCACTTCGAAAAGCACTTTTTTTGGGTCCAGGGGGGCCCAAAACGAATATATCCACTCAAAACTCAAACTCGAAAATTTTGACGAAAACAATACTTTCTCCATATACTATGGGATAGGGGGAGAAAGTAATAAGTTGGAGGCATGGGGAATGTGTATGTAACGTTGAATTCAAAACAATTTGGCCCCCTACGTCAATAGATGATTCCCGCAAACTGCATATTTCCATCTATTGCAGTTTTTACATAAATAAAGATGCAAGTAAAAAAACACACCCTGTACTTGCGAAACAGGTAATTGAAAAGAATGTGTAAGGTGTGAAGAATGTCGGAAGCTAGAGCGTGCGCATGGTATAGTGGTGGAAATGGATGCATACGGTGAATGTGCAATCGGCATTTTACACGCTACAGGTGTCCTAGAATCAGTCAGAGCACAGGAAACGTGGTCAGAAGCAGAAAATTGGTTGACTATGGAGGCGGCTTTTTTTGCCGGGGCCACCCTCATCTTAACCTGATTTTTTTCCACAGGCGTTACCCGTGGGTTTGGGAGATGCATTACGGTATATGGGGCAGGCCACACTAGAGTAAAATCTTCCTACACGCGATTAACAGATTCGCACGTGTATTCACTACTAACATTCCTCGTAAAACTAGTCGCGGGACATTGCGGCTTATGGGAGTGAACCCGCTCAACTTATCTCGCTAAATTCTTTTTCACTATATTTCTAGTTTTAACCTGACTGACCTTACTGTGCAGGTCGTGGAGGGGGGGGGGTGCGGATCAATCACGGACAATTTTATTGCTAGTGTGGCATGCTCTATCAGTCACTCTCGCTGGTTAGCCCGAAAAACCTATATCGACGAGTGTGCCCACGTCAAACAGGGCCACGTGCGCCGCACGTGAAAATGAAGAAAACAATCTCGCTGGTAAAAAATTACACGTGTGACTCAGCCTAGTAGGATCGCGTTATCACCAAACATATGCGCCCTTGAACTAGGAATTGGGTAACTCGTCCTATATGAATGCTAACTTATCTCTAAAGGGCAAAAATGGATTTACAAAACACTAGTTGGAGTCATTTATCTAAATATAACAAGCCTTGGATAGGTGAATTAAACTGATGTGTGCAGTTAATTTAGGGCAACATATGAGGATGTATTTCATTATATTTGTTCCAATCCTAAGAAAACGTTATCTTCATAAAAAAGAGCTTACTATGGAAGATTTCCTCTCACATTTAAATGGTAGGGACTGGCAAAGTCTAGAATTTTATTTAATTAATGCATGGAAATATAGTTATAAAATCGTGTCAAAATTTAATTTTTCATAAAGAAAAAACTGAAAAAAAATACTTTGTTTGCCATCCTAAAGTGTTGCAGGAATATAGAAAATAGGGTAGAGAATAAAATATTTCGTATTAATATAATAAACATGAAATCTGCCAGCCCAGCAAGTGTGTTTTTTTAGCTTTTTTAGTAGATATTTTATTGTATTTTGAAGTGTTATTTGACGAAACAATCTTATTATTTAGTAATGCATTGTTTTAATGAAAAATCACTGGTTTCTTTCTTTGCTTTCTGTGATCATGATGGTTGGGTTTGTATAGACGATCAATGATATTCATCCGTAATAATAAGCCAATCATTGGTCTCAGGTAAGAGACACATCTTTCGGCTTTTTAAAGAATAGATGATAGTAGGATTTCTATTGAAGCTATATCTATTAGAGCTCGAGTCCAGATGAGGTAGTCTTGTACCAGCAACCCAATAATCACCGCGAGAAGCAACGAATAAAAAGGTTTCTTAGTTGATTAGCACTGCTTTAAATCAAAGTTTGTGCTTTAATTCAAATGTGTAGCTAATTGTCTTTTTATCTTCAGCTAATTATGTTACAATATTGTTAAACGGTTTTAAATAATTCTTAATAAATGAACAAACAAATATGTGGATTGGATAAGTCGCTCTCAGAGACACCTAGCGGAGATTGGGAGAACTGTTGCGAGCCTCGACAGCTGCGATACTCTAGTGGTGAACGGGAGAACTAGCGAACCTATATGATAGCAACGCCAATTAAGTTGTTATCATACATTACTAAACATACCAAAATGAATCAACTTTTCACTAGTTTTTTTTATCAGTAATTTAAAAATATTATTTATATAACAAAATAACTTCTTGATCAGCATTGTACGTGTTATTAAATTTACGGAAAGTAAATAAAAGAAACGTCTTATAACACTTAAAACATATATTTACGCTTATACTGTTACTCACAAGACGGTAAATATACAAAACAGATGGTAAGTGGTGATCGATTTCAATTGGACACTCCAATCATCATCAGACCCAATAGGTTTTTGATATAAATCGCTAGAGTAATTGGTTTTATTTTTATAAAGTAAATAGTGACAGAAAGTCCAATATTTTTAGAAAACACAAAATTCTCAAATACGACCAAACGGTTCGGAATCGGACTAGGGTTTATAGCAACTTTTTTGTTCATTTTGATCAGTAGAATCCACTGGCGAAGTTATGGGCGTCAGTAGAAACTCACCCTACTGTGACACAATCTTAATAGACGAAAAGATTGATTCACTTACTAAACAGCTGCTTGTTTCCATTAGCAAATTTAATTAAAAACAAGTTAGAAGTAGTTTTGTGAGGTTACTCTAAATGAACTTTTGTAACATAGTTTTTTTTCAAATAATGGTACAGTATTACGATAAATATAGTTCACCACTCGGGCAAAAAGTGACTTTTTAACCCTCGCTCAGTTTCCGGCTTCGGCCTCACCTCGATCGTAAAACTTGACCTCTGGTCAAAAAGAGTCACTTTAGGCCCTAGTGATGCAATTTACTATTTTCTAACCAATGTTTTTTTTTCTCTGGGACTTTAACTCCAGATAAAAAAAACTCAATTACGAAAAAAAATCTCGTGCCTGTAAATAAATTAAAACTATTAAGCACAGTTAAGGTGTAACCGTATATGAAACACACATCAAAACGCGTCTCATGTGTTACCATAGAACTGAATTATATTTGCCACGTTTTGATTTAACGACTTCATAGATTACGTGCTTTATTTTTCCTCATAAACGTGTGGAAGGTTAGGTTAATTAATCAATCTTAAATTTTGTTGATATTTGCTCACCATTTTGTAAGGAACATTTCGCATGTTAGTCAATAAGTTGCAGCCATGGAAATCAGAAGCATGTTTATTAAAATCCTATTAAGAATTACAGTTGAGGTTTTGCAGCTTCAGCCTACCTTCTCTGCACACATTTTATCAACTGGCTTAAACTTTTTTTCAGATGACTGTCGATTGTCACTGCTTTTGATTACAGGACGCCCGTCTTCATCATACGTTATGTCTAACGCGTAAAATTTGGAATCAATGTCTTTGGAACTGAGTACCCATTTTCCTGTTGAATACGTTTTGAGCGTCACCAATACTTTCTTTTCATTACTATCTTCTCTGATGAAGAGTACTGTGTCTTGAGTGATTGCGTCATCTGGTTGTGGTCCCTGGTATGCCTGGAACGTGCAGTATGTAGCCAAAGGAACGGCTGTGGCCAATCCCTGAAAGAAAGAAAAAAGTAAGAATATTGACACAGCTTCATATGATTGTTATTCAATATAACATTGTATATTTTTAGGATTTACCACCTTGAATCCATTTTAGCGAATTTCCCATATAGGGAGTAAGCTATTACCGTAGTACTCCTGGTAAAATCTGGACCCAGGACGGATTTACTTTTTCGTTTTGAGGTCCCTAGAGGCTAAAAACATCATCCGTTCAAATGCATATATATATATATATATCATATATACATATATATAACTATATAGATATAGATACCCCCGTCACAGCAAACCTGCAAACTAAGCGAATGTCAACTTGTCTGATTACATTTTTACTAAAATATTTCCATAAATAAGACATAATTATTCTAAATTTAAATAGCATTAGATTTAAAGAGTGCTTAGGTTTGCTGCTACGGGGAAGGTTAAAAGTGTTTTTGACTAAAAATCAATAGTATAGGCCGAAATAAAAATTGCAAAATTTTATCAACAAATATTTGCCCATACATAAGTAAACTAAAAAAGGTTTCATTTTTCTCCATAAGAATGACATGGGAATACTTTTTTGAATTTTTTCCTTAACCATTAGGCATATAGTAATGTTCAATATACTAAATTATTTCTTTTTTTAGAAATTCCAAAATTTTATGTTTTTAGGGTCAAAAATGGGAAAACCCATTTTTACCCCGTAAAACCCCCCATAAACCCCCCGTTCCCATGATCCGATCATGCTGGTTCGTGAACTGGATCGAATAAATGTAGGTTTACACGTTTATATCAAACTAGCTGCGTGCCCGTTCTACGCACAGGGATCCTATAGTAGTCAGTTAAAACCTTCTTATATTAAATTGAATAGGGCTCTAATAAATAAGGTGCAACACCAACGATAACTAATTTGAAAATTACAGAGATGTGTTGGTACGTAAAAATGATTCTTCCCTAACAGCAACAGATATCCATTGAATATTCAGAGTGGTTGAAATATGTCTAAAGATATCTAAATGTAATTACTGTAAATATATTTTTAAAATATCTTATTCAAGAAATCAGTAAAATGATATGAGTATATTCTATAGATTATATATTAAAAGTTTCTCAGTAGATATTTATATAATGTTTAGATGCAATATCCTAAAAATATTGCACACCCTAAAAATATTGTAATTAAGTACTAGATATCTACGAACAGATATCCTGTAAATATCAATCCTACATTGACGATTGGATATTGATTATATGCTGATAAGTGCATTATTGTTTCATCTAGAATATTTAATATTACAGTTAGCCTTATTACAACACAGGATCTAAAATCATCCAACAAATCTACAAACACTAATGAAACCAAAACTTAATTGTAGTTTCTATGTGGTTCTTTTGGTAGATGAATAATAGTATGTTGTCTCCGCAGTAGTCGCAGCTAGTCTGGGCGCGCGGCCGCGCTGTGGCAGGGGGTGTAGAGGGGAGTGTTTATTGCTCATTTCCAAAAACATTTGGCCCACACGGCTGTCTGGGGTTGTTCAGCGCCTCAGCAATGTCTTCATGGCTTTGGCGTGGGGGACGGTTAGTACATAAGGGTCCGCGCGCCCAGACTAACTGCGACTACTGTACCCTAATCCGTGCTACACGCGTTAAAAAAATTAAATCATTTTAATCAGCCCAAAGTGGACAAAAATTGCATTAGTGATGTACACTTTTCCAAAGGGAGTGTTTCATTAAAGTCAAACTATTTCAGTCAGAAGGGAAGAAATGTGCATCACACCACGTAATACATAATAACACAAGTCTCGCTCGACCCAAAAGTTGTGAGAAACAAAAAAAAACTGTTAAGCCATTCCGTAAAAACGTTATACAATTGACTTTGAATGTATGATTAAACATTAAATTTAACATTAAACATTAAACTTTTTATAATAATAATAATGCAAATATTTTCTTTTTAATTAAAATTCTTTAACTTATTTGAGGAAATTATATTGGTTGATTAATTTAAGGGTAAATATTAATTAATCATTTATAAAAATTATAATAACATTACTAATGGTAATTAATTAATCTATATTCAGATCTCAGTATTCTCTCTAACTCCCAGAAAAACAATTAATTTAACAACTCGATGCCTAAACAGAATCATATTTTCAAAAATATTGTATTGCGAACATTGCAGCTGTTGAAAACTAGTATTATCAAAATCACAGGTAGCTCAGAGGTTTTCCTGTTTGTTTATTAAATAAGTTTCCTGTTGTGTTTGCGTTTGTAAAATTAATTTATGGCTGTTGTTTTAAACATATATATATATATATATATATATATATATATATATATATATATATATATATATATATATATATATTGTTGTTGTTGTATCTTACTATTTCTTTTGTTAGCCTACCGATATTGCAATTGTTGTTTCCTTTTTCTCGTTGTTGTTATGTCTCGGTTGCATATTGTTAAATATTGTTGTGTTTTTTTTTCACTTTATATTTTACCTGTTGTTGTTATCTATGCGCCATATTATTATGTCTTTTGCATCTTATGCCTGCTTCTCATTTGCATTCTTATTTATTGCACTATTTTAGTAGCCTGTACCTAATTTTGCTATGTTTTTGTATGTCTTACACTTGAATTGATTCAGCCTATGAATGTATTTTTGTTTGTCTTTTATACTGGTTATGTCTTTTGCATGTCATGTCTGCTTTCTAATTTATTCTTATTATTGCTCATATTTATTACCTAATTATGCTATATGTTTATAAAGTGATTGAATCCTATTTAATGTATATTCCAATGGAAAAATGGTGTTGCCGTTGAGAGAATAAATAAATAAATAAGGTAAGAGGTTCATAATTTGAAGGTATCAGGTAAGAAACCTACCGGGGAAAAAAATTGTCTAGTTGTTTTTTCCAAAAATTGTTTTTTTTAACTATTTAATCAAAATACTCAACAATTCTAGCTACCAACGGTTCTAAGGAAAAAACCAGTACCAAAAACCAACGTTTACAGTTAAGAACTAGAGTACATCCGACCAATTAAATTCATTAATCTAGTTCCGAGGTTATTGATCTCTTGGTTTCGGATTTTTTCGTAAAAAGTAATAACTTTTAATGTAAACTCATCGGTGTCAGTTTGAGAAAAAAAACAACCTTATCCAAACAACTTATTTGTTATTTAATAGATTACGTATTCTCTAAACAATGATTAGTATATCTATTAGCATTAGAAGGAAATGTGACAAAAATCACACGCAGTTGGGTTTTTGGACGTTTGTAATTTTATTTCTTAAGTAGGTAGGCCGTGTACCTATTCAATGGAAAAGTGCCGGTATCAAGGATCGTCGTCGAAAAGGTTCTTATGAATAAATAGGTAGGGGGCCTAGGCGTAGTACCCAAGAGATGGGCTATGGGCCTATTGGCTGTATGGTCCAGCGATTGCGTCACACGGTGAGTAGAAACAGAAAGTGACACATTGGAAAAGCGAGTTTAGCATCATCCGTAAACCTCTGTTCCAATCACCCACCGCAGTTGTGAAATTTTACTTTACACTTTACACAACCGCCATTGAAGCGCCGTCAATGAGTGGAAACCATGTTTTTAAGCTATTGGCGACGATCATTAAGTGTCCCAGCCCTATACAACACTGATAGATATATAAAAATTTGAACAAATGGTGTTTTTGGCCTCTGGGGACATCAAAATGAAAAAGTAAATCGGTCCCGGGCCATTGTCTTACCATGACACCTACGGTAATAGCTTCTTCCCTATAAGGAAATTCGCTAAAAGCAAGCTTATAACAAGCCTAGTTTAAGCTTATAAGCTGGTAACCCAAGCTTGGGTTAAGCTTAACAACCAAGCTTATAACTAGCTGATAAAGTGTAAACTTTGAAGCTTAAAACAAACCTAGTTTAAACTTATAAGTTGGTTTACCCAAGCTTGGGTTAAGCTTAAAAACCAAGCTTACAACAAGTTGAAAAAGTGTAAACTTTGAAGCTTAAAACAAACCTAGTTTAAGCTTAAAAGCTGGTTTAACCAAGCTTGGGTTAAGCTTAAAAACCAAGCTTATAACAAGCCTATCTTAAGCTTATAAGCTGGTTACCCAAGCTTGGGTTAAGCTTAAAAACCAAGCTTATAACAAGCCTAGTTTAAACATTATAAGCTGGTTACCCAAGCTAAGGTTAAGCTTAAAAACCAAGCTTATAACAAGTTGAAAAAGTGTAAACTTTGAAACTTAAAAAAGCCTATCTTAAACTTAAAAGCTAATTTACCTAAGCTTGGGTTAAGCTTAAAAAACCAAGCTTATAACAAGCCTAGTCCCAAGCTTGGGTTAAGCTTAAAAACCAAGCTTATAACAAGTCTAGTTTAAAGCTTGGGTTTAGCTTAAAAACCAAGCTTATAACAAGCCAAGGTTAAGCTTATAAGCTAGTTACCCAAGCTTGTGTTAAGCTTAAAAACCAAGCTTATAACAAGCCTAGTCCCAAAATGGGTTAAGCTTAAAAACCAAGCTTATAATAAACCTAGTTTAAGCTTATAAGCTAATAAGCTGGTTACCCAAGCTTGAGTTAAGCTTAAAACCCAAGCTTATAACAAGCCTAGTCCCAAAATGGGTTAAGCTTAAAAACGAAGCTTATAACAAGCTGAAAAAGTGTAAACTTTGAAGCTGAAACAAACGTAGTTTAAGCTTATAAGCTGGTTTACCTAAGCTTGGGTTAAGCTTAAAAACCAAGCTTATAACAAGCCAAGGTTAAGCTTATAAGCTGGTAACCCAAAATTGGGTAAAGCTTAAAAACCAAGCTTATAACAAGCTAAAAAAGTAATCCTTTGTAGCTTAAAACAAGCCTAGTTTAAGCTTATAAGCTAGTTACCCAAGCTTGGGTTAAGCTTAAAAACCAAGCTTATAACAAGCCTATCCCCAAGCTTGGGTTTAGCTTAAAAACCAAGCTTATAACAAGCCAAGGTTAAGCTTATAAGCTGGTTACCCAAACTTGGATTAAGCTTAAAAAT